GGTCACTTAATTAGTACATGTATCTCAAATTTAATTGGGCAAATGAGAATTTTGTCTTTAACAACTTAAATGACTCAAAAATGTATTACATGTTCAACATGTTCAGGGTAAATTATTTCCTTTATCATGAATTTATTCTAATTTTATGGGAGAATATATTTATAATTATGAAAGTACTAGTAAATCAGTCTACACATAAGTAAGAATTACCTCAACTATTTGAATTACTTTGCAGAATTTATTGCATTGTCTTTATTACTTAACAATCATGTAAAACTTTATTTCATGGCCGTAGGAACGGGGGGGGGGGGTGCCCCCAATAATTTTGCCGAAATATAGAATAAAGAAAACATAGCTACTATATGCTTGTGCCCCCTCAATAAAAACGCCTGATGACCTTTTTTTTTTAAAGCTTGTCAAGGAATTTTTGGTTGTTAGTGCCCCCCAAAGAAAATGCATGGCTGTCCCCCCTCCCCCAAACTGAAATTGCTTCTTACGGGCCTGTATTTATTGATTTTTTTTAATGTATCATTTATTTATAAACCTATTAAGTGTTTCATTTTGAAAAGAAATATTAGAAGATAATCATAATTTCAGAAAGAAGTTGAAATTAAATAATAAAAGAGACCCTAAGAAAAATTGCTTGTTGTCATTGTCAAGCTTGAACAAGTCCTGATTCATATGAAACAGATCCTGATCAATTTAAGCATTTTTTTTAACATATAATGAAAAAAAAATACTGTTTATCTTATGCAGTTGCCATGGAGAAATTAACTTGCTTATACTCTCAATTTAGTTATAAAACCATAGAACAAGCAATAATTTTTTTATTTTAATAAAATTGTTATGCAGAGTCTACATATATTACTTGTATATCTACATATGTAGATTAGAAACTTTCGGTCGGGTTCAGTTTAATTTTGATCGGGTTAGTTAATACATTGTTGAGTCTTTTGATCAGCATGGACATGGTTTGATGGTATGATAATATTTTTACAGTTTCAATTTCTAAACTTTCCAGGAAAGTTTAATTCCTTCATTTTGTACAATGGCTATACATATGCCGTATATTTTCCCATGAATTTTTTTTTTGAAATTATATTTTTAAAATTCTGACAAGATTTCTGAGGAAATTTTTAACTGCCTAGGGTGAGATTTATGACAGTCTGAGACATTTTAAACCAAGTCTCTGAATAAATTAGATTTTGTTGACTTGTTTGCATTTATGCATTTATTTTTATTATAGTGTGTTCGGTACCACATAACATGCGAGAATACCTTCTCCGGTATGTTGGAGAGAAGATGAGCAAGAAAAAATCGCGTGAGAAAATGAGAAGTTGACAGAAAAAGATTTTTTTCATTATCGAAAGGGACATGTACAACATCCATAATGGTAAGAAAAGATAATTATTTATAGTCATATTTATTTGTTTCTATAATGTTTCTTTCGATAACTTTTCACTCATATTGAAAAGCCAGCACTTGAGAACCTCTGTACTCAGGACCCTTGAGCAATGAGTAATTTTGTTCATGCCAGCACCTACTACAACATGGGACCTCAGTTTCATTTGAACACCGGTCTCCACATCCTGCAGTGGAATTCGAACCTGTGATGTTAGGATCAACTCCTTTATCTGTGACTCTAAAGCAAACACTTAAACCACTGCGTCATGCAAGCAGCTAGTCATACTTGTATTCCTTATGATGTGAGCTAGCATTATGAAAATTACATGTGCTGTAGATCATAGGTTGCTACATAGTGCTTTGTATGTTGCGCTAAAAAAATATGGTGTTCATCAATGATTCATTTTGGTGTGCATCCTGCGTAAATTATGCACAAATTTTGCTCAGGACGCATTATTTTAATAAATGTGCATCCCAATGGACGCAATAAATTTATAGAAGAACGTGTATTATTTGGTATAATCCGATTTTAAACTTGACCGATTGCATCATATTCATGTGCTAAGCGATATGCATGAACAATTTTAACAGGTATATATAAGGTTGCCAACAACAGGTCAGATTTCACAATTGCAGCCAATTAACCAGCAATTATCAGAAAATATTTGAAAGTTAGATAACATAGTTCGATTATCACTGATTATGTCTATACTGTGGAACATTTCTGAAGCGAATACTATACCTTTGTAAAAGCTATACATGTAACCTGTATCATTTTTTTTTTTTTTTTCCTTACAAGCTAAGAAGTTTAAAATTTAATCATTTTTATTTCCGACTGTTTTTTCATTTCTTCTTAAAATTTCTTTGCTTCATTCTGCTTCTGTGCATTTTATGACTGATACATTACAATGTGTGAGATCGTATGTACGATCTAAAAATAGAACCAAAGTGCACAGTTGACAATATATTATATTTATGACACAAAATCATGTACTCTTACTTGGACAATTGATAGTAAATTAAAATTATAAAACTACTCACAGCAACAATAAAGCATTTGCTCTTTCGTGAAATAACTTTTTATATTTCACCAGAATTTCCTCTGTAATATCTAATATATGACCCTTGGATTTGGATGCTCTGATTTTGTCATGGGACTCATTGTTGTCATTAAGGGGGGTCCTTTGGACCCATGATAACCATTTTCAAAATGAATCACTGGTTCATAGGTCTGGGACTAAAAGTTTATGAGGACATACTATCTTAATATCACCCACCCATTATCATCTGATCAGCATGATCAGTACTATTAAGCAGGAAAACAAATATTTGAAGAGACATACTGTAAAAATAATTTTGTAAGATCTTGGAAAACATGTAATTTTGGAAATACATTGACATATAAGTATATAATTTTTTTTTGTGGATAACAGTTGATTAGGGTAGGTGGTCACTGGTGTGATTTTGACCCATTATCTGATTATTTTTCATACTTAACTTAAGTTTTGTTCGAGTATATGTCAGTGTTTGTTATGCTACAACGTTTTCTGGGTAATTTTCTCTATGGAATACCTTTTTACAAGATTTCTTCTTTTTTTTGGAATTATTTATTGAATTTGCGAAATCCATGTGTTCGACTTACAAGATATATGTGTTGGGTTATTTCTAGTTAGAACAATCTAACTTTGTCTCGGAACAAGCCCTCGATCACCACAGTTAGAATATGTCCCATATACTAGCAGTGTAGCATATTGGAAAGGATCCGCTCAGAAATGATTTTGAAGAATACAAAAAAAATTGCACTGAAAATAACTATCAAATTAATCATAACAAACCTTTTTGAGATTTTATATGCCTTTTAACCTAAAAAATAATCCATAGAAATAAGAAAATTCAACTCATTTTCTCAACCTTTTTTCCTCGCTTCAAAGGACAAGGTATGGTGATGGCTGAATCTGGCCCCTTATTTGATGTAAAAATCAGAACATAGTTAAAATAGTGATAGTTTGTAGTTAAGAACTAAAAATGATGCTTGTTTTAAAACCAGCACTAATTTTGATTCAAAGCTTACACGGAGACCAGAAGAGGGTGCAGAAGTAGGACAATTTCCTGAATTTTCTCAATTCTATTGGAATATCCTCAAATTTGAGATACTTTTCACTTCGGGAAACATAGAGCACAAGCTTGCCTATCTGAGATTTTTATACATAAGATGCATCTGATACTAGTGTATGAAATATATAAATATGGCAGATAGGCAAGCTTGTGCTCTATGTTTTCTGAAACAAAATGTGCTGTAAAATCGATGAAAGTTTGCATAAAATGAGAAAATTCGGAAATTGACATATTTTCTGATCTTCCTGTGACCTGTATGTATCACATAACTTAGAACCAATACTCATTTTCTGGCAGGGGTGACAACAGGTTTCTATTGATAAACTGTTGTATCATATTCTAAACAACACCCCAAACCAGGGGCCAAAAAGAGGTCTTAGCCTATCTTGTCCTTTACACGCCATGTTGAATTCGGAACTCTCTGGATTGTTCATAGAAAATGCAGTCAGTTCGAGTTATCGAACTTGCTTATTTTGATAAATTGCCAATACACGGAACGAATTCTATCTTTAAACCAGGTCCGTAGGACAATATCATTTTAATGATTAGAACATTCTAATCTAGGTTATTGAGATCACAGCAACAATATATAAACAAAATTAAAATTGAAATTATAATTAGCATCATCTCTTTTAAAAAAGAAAATATAAATTCATATTATTTTGTAAAACCAAAAAATATTGGTTTAAATATACTGACAATAAAAAAAGAGACAATAATTCTCAAATTATGAATAACTTTAAAACATTGAGTGCACCTACAAGCACAGATCCCATGATTTGTAATATAATGCACACACAGGCATGTAAATCAAACATACAGATTTTCACTGATTAGCTAATATACATGTAGAACTAGTTTCAACTAAATACTCGTACAAATACAAAAGAAAAAAATAATTATTTTCCAAGCAAATAAAATGAAGAAATTAAAAGTTTTTGATTTTATTTTGATTTAAAAATTATCAAAGAATATTTAAGTCGAACTTCATGAAAAAGAAAAGCTGAAATCAAAATATTTGTATCAATTTAAATGTCATGCTTGATAAATTTTGGAAATACTGACAGATACACCCTTGCATAACACATATACATGACTAAAATTGTAAATTTTTAGAGACTTTGGATATGCATGGTGTCAAACTTTGTCTCATTTTAATATAAAATGAAAAAATTATAACCGATTAAAGATATTGTGATCTGTATTGTAGCATAAATATTGTGATACCTAATATAGTATATATTAGATATAGAATAGTAGACGAAAGTGTATTATCCCAGCCCTTTATATTTGCAGTGCAGTATAAAACAGTTCAATTATATAATAATGAAGTCAAGAGAATATGGACATGATTATATGTAAATTAATAGATTTTGTTTTCATTTTTGCAGGTGTGTCTGATGGAATTCGTCATTTCATTAATAAATAATGCTGATAAAGATGCAAACTTAGCAATTGTGCCTAAAAAGCGACAGCTTTGACAAGGAAATATATCCATATATAACAGTTACTGGTACTGTATGAATGCAGTGAAAGGATCCAGATGAACAGATGAAGAGATTAAGTACAATGTACATCAATTACTTGGATGAAGAGAATCTGCAACATGGGGTAAGGTATATTTGCTGCTTTATTAGTTATAAACTGTAAATAAATTGTTAGCAGAAAATAGACACAAAAGCTTTAATTAAAGCAAATCAGGGGTAAATACTAACTTTTAAAGCATGCAGATACTCAATGATAGACTGATAGTTTGATAGTATCATAAAAACCAAAAGAACTTCAGTGACTTTGAATTCCTGATAGCCCTAGCTGTTAATGAACTAGTTGCCCATTACAGCCTTTGGCTGCTTATGGAGTCATGACGTGATTGTTGGGGGAGGAGGAAATGAATTCCCAGTGGAGATGGGTATGAAGGTTAAAAATAGGGCCACAAAGAACCAGGTTATGGTGAGGCAGACTTGCCTCCTTACATTTTATTGTAATTATTTAACCCTTCACTCTTTATGAGTGAAATAATTCTCGAATGGGACATAAAACAACACTCAATCAATCGGTCACACTTCACTCGCTGTTCACAGCACTTGTTGCTCTGTACTGGGCACTACTGGCTCACTTAAGCAGGTTAAGTTCAGTTTGGTGTTTACTAGTCTTTCCAATGATAAATAAGTCTGAAGAACATTTTTTGTGAGTCGACTGCACAGCAGTGCAACACCTAGGGATCAATTTACCTGGCATCTGTCTGTCTGTCCATCTGTCACACCTTATATCTCAAGAATTGTAAGAGGTTTAATTGTTTTTGATATTTGGTTAATATTTTGCTTGGCATTCTGACTTTTTTTAAATACCATGGTTGCCAATCTTGTGACCCTTGAACTTACCTTTGACCTACTTATAAAAAAGTTTAAAGTGCCAATATTCAGCATATTTTTGATAATTTAAAAGAGGTAAGTCTATGCTATTAATAGCATGTGCACAATTTATCATAAATTATAGTGAAAAATACCAGCATTATAGTTCACTTGACTTTGACCTTTGTTTTACTTTTCAAAAAATATTTTGAATGGTTAATTTACCTTAAATGTTTTGATTTTCTAGAAGTAGTGTTTTGATAATTAGCATTGATGAGCTCATGACACTCTACTTTGAAACTTTTTGATATCCAGTTATCACACAAACTAAAACTTAAATCCTATGAAAACAAATCGGGATCAGTATACCACAATGGGTGGTAATGTAGACTGACAATTGCAGTAAAGACAGCCTGAAATCTCTTTAGAAAAAAACTGTTGAAAAGATTATTGACCATTATATGGTGACGTCTCTATTTTAGTGAAAAATTCTTAAACAGGATGTAAAATGACATACAATTAAACAATCAATCCAACTACTGAGTGAGCTTTCTAGCTTGTGAACTACCAATTATGTCCAATTGGAAGTAATATTTGAATGTTTTAAAATGTGATTGTACATTGTAGGAAATAATGTTCCTATAGAAAAGTCAAAGAATGTATACATGTGAGATTCTGAAGTAGCCGTACATGATGAGTAGGAATTTGAAGTGAATTATGGGAAAAGGTATGTAATCCATTAGATTGCTTTAAAGTTAGTGATTTTAAATCTGAACACACTGTGTAAAAGGAATTTTTTCGCCATATTCCTTTATTCATGCTATATTGTAGGGTCCCTATATAAGCCACTCACTTAGTCACTGTTCAGTGTAATCTGTTGTCACCTGTCTGTATAGACAGACTGACGTATGCTACATAGCTCTGGGTAGCGACAAAAAATTACTGTGTACTTCTTTCATGGCAGGAGAGAAAGATGCCAATGAAACTTACAACAGTCGCACAGGTCAGTGCAGTATACAAACATACACAAGTACACGTAACTGCAATAAAATAAATAAACAAAGGCAATGCAAGATAGCCAGCATGAGCATGTGTCACCATTCCACTCCGATACCTGTGACAATAAAGCAGTCAGGTGTAACAAATGCGAAGAGTATACCCTGGTGCTGATATAGTAGATGATATATAATCGAATTTGGTGTATGCCTATTTATGAGATGTGTTCAGCTTTAATTGATTGTTTTTCTCTGACTATATGTACCATAGGTCATAGTCATTTATGGTATATACAGTGGCGCCATGTTTATCCGAACACTTCACCTTCCAGATGCTATTTTTCGGGAATAGATTTTTTCCATGTCATTCTGTCTCATTAATCCAGAAATTCGTGTTCCACATCCGAACGGTCGATTTCTACTACAAAACGTAATAGTTCATTGAAAAATGACTCATTTATCCAAATGGTAATTTTTCAAGAAATGACTTTTTCATACTTATCTTCAGGGGTTGAAATTTTCCTGGAAATCCCACTAGCCCAGGGGCTACTGATTAGGAAAAAATTACTAGCCCAAATAAGAAACAGTTCAAAATTAATCAATATTATTTTTAACAAACTTAAGCCAAAGAGGCGTCCGGATAAACAAGGCACCACTGTATATATCTATAATACATGCATATAAATGTACTTGCTATTAACAGTGAGTACAGTAAAATTTTCCCATTAAGTATATTAATTTTTTCTATGTGGTTTACTTTATGCCCAATTATCAGCAGTTTCCATAATTGCCATATTTAAGTATAAGAACTAGGTTGCTATAGCAGACAAAAGGTAAATATAAAAAATCTAAAGTACAAGGTACTTTATCACTGATTGAATGTTAATTAGGGCCTGCATGAAATGTTAAAGCTATATAGGATTCACATTGTCCATCTTTATGTCTTTCAGCCAGCAATTAACACTTCAGTTGTGACAAAATAAACAAGTTTTAGTTTATGCAGTGTAATACTATACAGGGTATTGATGCATACAGTAAATGAGATCATTAGAATGGTGTATTTATATACTGTATATACTTGATATCAACAATTTTTCTCAGTGGTCTACTTTATGCCCAATTATAAGTGGTCTCCTCAATGGCCATATTTAAGTATAACATATGTATAAGTACAGGTTGCTATAGCAGACAAAGGTAAATATAAAAATCTAAGTGCAAGGTACTTTATCACTGATTGAATGTTAATTAGGGCCTGCATGAAATGATAAAGCTCTATAGGATTCACATATTGTCCATCTTTATGTCTTTCAGTCCAGCAACACTTCAGTTGTAACACAATAAATAAGTTTTAATTTGATATGCAGTATAATATAATACAGGATATTGATGCATATAGTGAATAAGATAATTAGAATGGTATATTTATATACTGTATATACTTGATATCGACTAGGGTTAATTCAATTTACTCAATTTTTCTCACTGGTCTACTTTATGCCTAATTATAAGTGGTCTCCTCAATGGCCATATTTAAGTACATGTATAAGTACAGGTTACCATTGAAGACAAAAGGCATATACAAAACTCTAAAGACCATGATACTTTGATACTGACTGAATGCTGATCTGGACCCTTGAAAAGCACTTAGTCTTAGTCTTATTTATATGACAATGTGTGGTTTGATATAAGTTAACTGAATTACCTAGGTAACCATGGTAACATATTTCTATCTGTTTTTGGATGTTTTTGCATAAGCAAGGGCTTGGGTCATGCATAAACTTTTCACATTTTTCAACTTCTTCTCAAGAACTACTGGACAAGTTTAAACCAAACTTGTCACAAAGTATCTTTAGAATAAGGATGGCAATGATTAACTGGTTTATTAACTATTAAGAAAGATCATAACCAGTTAAAATTTTCATAATCAGTTTTGTAACCAGTTACAATTTACATACTAACCACTTAGTAGATACAGTAGCTGCAACGTTATTGTTGACAACTTACACGAACGATCACGTTAGATGAACGATTCCGCACGATTCACACACGATAAAATCTGTTACACAAACGATCCTTCACACACACTATTCTACACGTTACACGATCTTACACGATTGCAAACGGAAATGCACGATTCTTCACGCAAAATAGTTCAAATTCTTTAGGAATGGATATTTTCAAAAAGAAATAAGGCTTAATTAATACTTATTTTAGATTTCAAATAATGATTGATTTTATTTCATCGACTTTGAAAAATGAAAAAAAAAAATAGAAATGGATATTTCTGGAACTAAATACATGTAAGATTTATGAATTATTTTAGATTACAAAAAATTATTTATGTAATTCTCTGACTTTAGAAAACTGATTTTTTTTTTTCGTTCTATCAGAAGATGTACATGTTGGTGGACCGTGATTTTGATAGAATTGGATTTCATAATATGCAGGAAAGGGACAAGTTTGAAAAAAATGGCATGAAAATGAATTAAATTATAAGTTATATCCACATTTCAATTTGTGAATCTCTAAAATCAACAATTATTTTACAAATCATTTATTTGCAGAAATTAAAAAAAATAATCAAAAGTAACCTCCAGAGATAACACTGATAAACGAAACCCCGAGAATCATGTCGTGTAAATGTACATTCACCGACTAAATACTTATGTAAGCATTGAGAATTATTTATTTGTAAAAATGTTTATTTTTGATCTATTGATTTTAAAAATATCTTGACCATAATTAGCAATAAATATAATTAACATCAGAGAAAAAAATCAAACATCTAAGTACGGTTTATCAGAAAAAAAATCATGCTATTTGACGAGAACACAATATTGTACGACTTACTATATTGTTTATTTCCAAGCGATAATTAGTTCATTCTGTTTTCAGTTATGTAAATCACGCTTCATTTCTTTTTAATTTGGATTGAAAAAAAAAACAGACAAGTGAAATGCTTGTATAACAAAAACATTCCAATAAAAACTTACAAAACAAAATTTACACGTTTCTTAACGCATGATCACGCACGATTAAAACCACAAATGATTGAGTCTGATATACGCACGATCTCGCATGTTACACGAACGATCACGCATGTTACACGAACGATTCTACACGATTCTTTTGTCAACAATAACGTTGCAGCCACTGTAGTAGGGATGGCAATCGAATACAGAATTGCTAATCGGTTAATGGTAAACCGCAAAATGTTCCGACCAATTAACCAGTTAATCGTATCAAACTACACAATGTCATTTTCTTGACTTTTTTCAAGTACCTCTATTCCTATGCACAAGAAGTCTTTAAAAAAGTTGTTAGAGGTCAAAATCATTCTATTTGTCTTTCTTGATCATAAAACTATGCGCATATTTTTTTTCAATAGACAAGAAAAAATTCAGAAAACCATGAACCAAGCTTGAGATATTGTGGATAATTTTCATGAGCGGATGTCACACAAGTTCATTCTTCAGTATCACCATAATCAAAACTAAGTCTAAATTGTATCACTTAAGGGGAAGAAGGACCTTGAGCTGAAAAAATACTTGTCATTCAATTTTTTTTTCATATTTTGTATATTTCTAATTTAGTATGTCCCACATATCTTAAAGCAGTTATATCAGTAGGTTTCTGACCTTATTTTAGAGATATTGATTGACAAATACTATGCCCTGCAGTATCTAAGTGGAGTTTTAATTCTTCTTGTTTCCGGGCCCAATACTCTGTCCATAATGGGATTTTTTAAGCATATATAAAAAATATGCAAGTGGACATGTATCTCTTAAAATATTTCAGAGTATGAATAGGTTTAAAATTCGAAAAAGCAATTTTATCCTGTCACACTGCATCTGGATAGGGAAAATTACGTACTTTTTGAGACAACTTAAGCAACAAAAAAACGTAATTTACAAAAAATTCTATCATTCAATATTTTTAAATTTATGTTGAAATGCAAGTCCTTCAAATTATTGGTTAACTGTAAAAATTTTGAATGGTGAAGCTGACCTCAATATTGCACAGGACATCATTACAGAGGACATAAGCATGACAAAAACGTGTCATATTTACATTTCTTGAGTACGGGATAAACCAACTATGACGTCACACGTAAGCAAAATAAGCGAAATAAGATATGCCTACGTAAGATTTCTGTCATCAGCCATGCAATCATAATTTTTATGTTCCCTGTTTCTCAAAATATTTCATCACATACTGATTATGACCTGATTTTACATAATAATACCGCCCCTGTATTCACGGAGTATGATCTTGCTGTACTAATAGATCATGTATGACGTCACCGACTTGTTGGACGCGCAGTTTAGGGAAACAGAGGAGTGGATCAATCTTTTTCATAATTTGTTAATGTTTACATGAATGTTAAAACTTTTTACTTTTTTATATAAGATGGCAATTTAAGTTAAAAAAAAAAATGTCAAAAAATTATACAAGAACTGATGCTTTACACGTTTTGGACTTATATAAACGGAGATTATGACGTAGATAAAAAGAGTCATGTGACCATGTGTCCTTCATCCCCTTAATTTACAATGTTTGTATTATAATCTAATGTGATAGATAACTGCAAAAGATACACACACACCAATTCATGGTGCTCAACGGTGATTATTATCATTAAAGAATTAGAGGACAGTCGGGGTAACGACATGATGTTTTAACAGTAATTAACATATCTCAGACTGACCAATTACTCCGCAATTTTAATCTGGAGAGCCATAATGACCTCCCAATCAGCCTAAATAAATAAATGAAAATGCTAAATTAAATGTTTAGGTAGGAATTTCTATTTTGAAAATGAATTTTAGTACATTGCCTTCAGTTTTACATATATTATAATTTTTTTACGACTAATCGATTGCAGATTTTTTAATCGATTGCCATCGTTCCAACCGAGTAATCAGTTAACCGGTTAGAAATTGCCATCCCTAGTAAATACTTTTTGTCAATGAGTATTTGTATTTACTTTTTCAATAATATTTTCATTTTTTGAAATAAAACTTGTAACATGTTTCAAACTGAAATGTGACAATCAAGCAGTTACCATATCTTGCCGAATATAATATGCATTGGTTTAAATATGCACCCCCTTTTTCAGCCTGATAACTTGGGGAAAATTGCAGCTCGGTCGTAAAGATTATTTGCTACAAAATCTTATTTCGTACAGGGCACAAGTTATTTAAACATTAAGATTTTAACAGACTTGAAATTTCTTTGACAATAACTTAAAGATTTCTTTGACAATAACTTAAAGATAAGTCACTTGACATATTTGTTGTAATCAACACACACCCAAAGCTTAAAAAAATGAAGAATGAAGGTTATAAATCAACCTCTCAAATATGAAACAGGGCTCTCAATTGTCTATAATTGGGGCCGTTCAAGGGCCCCACTCCCAATTCAAAAAAAGGTGCCTTTTTTCCCAATAAATGTGTTAATTTTCCCAATAGTAATTTCTCCCAAAAATTAAAGAAAATATAGCTGGATATATACCGGTAATAACTTAACTTGCTATTCATATTCCTCTGTTTTATAAAACAAATTTAGTTGATAACGAAGACCGGAAACCCAATATATATGATTTTAAAGTACGTATAATGGTTATTCCAAAATTTCCTAAAAGGTCTTTATTTTCCCCATCTTCCCAAAAAGCAGTGTGAAAATGAAAACAATTATATGTACAGCAAATAAGAAGTGCCCTATCTTGTCAAAAATGTGATTGGAATAGATAGACCATTTCTTTATCCAGGTGAATATCATTACCGCTACATTTTCAAAATGGTAATTATTTACTGCTACATACTCATTACCGCTGCAAAAAATGTACACATTACCACTTTCATTAGCCAATGGATTATGCATGTACAGATTGATACAAAGTACATGTACAACATATCCAAGCATAAGACCTTTTTCCACTGCTGACCATGGGAGATGAAAGTAGGGCTTAACAGGGTGGCTTTTTCCCACTTTTTTATTAGTCCCCTACCAGTGAAACCAGAGGGAATTATAGGTTTCCTCTGAGTCTGTCCATCTGTCTGTCTGTCCCTCTTTCAGTCTGTCCCATTTGTTTTCCGCACTTTTTTCTAAATGCTTGCAGATATTGAGCTGAGTTTTGGTATGTAAGTGTATCTTGATGAGTTACAGTTCAAGTTTGCATTTTGTTATGCTTCTTAATCAATGATTTTTAATGGAATTGTGGCAATTCAATTTTTAGTGGGAACCAGATTACACTTGCCGGTAGGGGACTAGTATTGCTTATGCAATACTCTCAAAATGCTTGTTTAATCTTAATTATAGTAGGTATTTAAGTATGCAAGTACAATACTGTACATATAAATGCTTGTTCAAAATAAAGTTTTTCTCGTAATTTCAGCCCAATGCAACAGAAACTAAAAATTCAAGAACCTATTGGTAATTAATCTGATGTTTTTTAAATAGATTCATCGAAAGTACATGCAATATAATTCATACTATATAAAGATGCAGTGTTTAATTGATTTGTTACAAAAAAGAGCAATGACCATATCACCAATGCTAATGTAGTGGTAAATATTTTTAATATTTAATAAGTTCCACATTTTTTTTTTCACAGTGAAATGGTAAAAAAGAAACTGCTAGCGCTTCTGTGCAGACTACCATCAATCAACATGATCAACAAAATCAAGTAATCCTTCTGAGTAAGTGACCTGTAGTATTATCTGTTTTCACCTAGGCCAATATGAGAAGGATGAAAGTTATTATACTCAATACACAAGTTTGGAGATTGTAGCTCTTCTACAAGAGAAACACAAAAAGAAGCCATATCCGCATGAAAGTGGCAGAGATTGTTGATAAAGTATACACAATCATGATTAAATAAATGTCAAAATGATGGCTTAATTAGGGCCTTTTAAAATGTAATTAATATTAAAGAAAGATTATACATGCCTATTATGTCAAGCAGTGATGATTTTGGTGATCATATTGAGCTATACTTTAGTAATACAGGTTTTTGGATGCTTGAGTCTCTGATTGACAATATATATGTAGTTTTTTGGAGACCAGGTCTTCCAATAATCTGTCAGAATTCCCATGGGTACCAATTGCAACCTGTTGTTAGGCTAGCAGACCTCTTTTTATATTCATATGAAGCAGAATTTATTCAAAATCTTACACATGAGAAGAAGAAAACACTTGCTGTGGTCTTGAACTCGACAGTGAGATATATCGATGATATATTATCAATTAACAATAGTTATTTCCATTCATATGTCAACTATATATATTATACCCCAGTGAGCTTGAAATAAAAGATACCACAGAGTCTGACACATCTGTTTCATGTTTGGATATTATTTATTTCCATCCCTAATTAAAATTTTATAAATTGATTATGTACATGTAATATTAAATGCATGTTTCTTGGAAAGTAATGTTTTAAGTGTTTCCTTACTACTATTAAGGATTTTCATGGTATATCAGATTCTTGTTTATTATCCTTTTCTAAGTGTTACTTTTCTCTAAGCAGTAAACAGGCAGTTGTATCACTAATGATAGGTGGAGACACATATCAAGTTACCTACAGTTACAGCCAAGGTTTAATGAAGAATCATCTGGAGTCTGGCAGTGAGAGTGACAGTCAGCAGTGGATACTCACTCCTCTAAGGCACCTGATCCCACCTCGGATGTTTTTGAGGTAGAGGTTGCACTGCTCAAATCATAATTTGAATGGACTTTTGAGCTTAAATACTATTCGTTGTCTCCATATTTCGTTTTATAAAATCTAGTTTTAATTAGGATGATTGAAAACAAATGAATCATCAATCCCTTTGAGAGAAGACACTTCCTAGATTGTACAAATTTATTCTAAAAAAAAATAGTGGAATCTTTAAAATTATTACGAGGGGAAAGAGTCAGTGTTTCATTTAGAATCCTGACGTGCAGTGATCAGATGCCTATATATTAGAGATCCATTTTTCTTTCTTTGTATTATTATAAGATTTTTTCAGTGTGTTTTTTTCCCAGGTATTTTTGGTATTTATTATTTAAATTTTGAGCTGATTAGTGCATCCAAATAAACAGTTATAGACCAGTATATTGAACATGTCCTACTAGCAGGTTTATGAAATATATGGAGATAACAAACAGTATTAAAGCTCAAAAGTTCGTTCAAACAATACAATTCAGGAGCAGAACAATACGGACCTCTAAAACATCAGAGGTGGGATCAGGTGCCATGGAGGAGTGACCATCCCCTGCTGACCAGTCACACGCGCAGTGTGCTTCCTGTCATGATCCGTGAAAAATTAGAAAAATCTGTATGCAATTCAGTGTGTAAATAATGGCCTGGAAATTAGATTTAAAACGTCAATCAGCACTTGACTTAATGATAGATTGTATTTTCTGACAAGCAACATGGTCATTGTATCGACCATATAACTATTGTAATGATGACTTTAAACAAGACTGATGATATTCTTGTTTCATCAACTTGTTTGTCAATAACTTACTTTGTTTTAGAAATTGTTCATAGGTAAAGCATGCTCTTGCGTATCGAATCAACAGAGAGATATGAACCCTGTATGCAGGTGATGAGGGTATATTGCTGCATAAGTAAGGGAAGTTAATGATTGAAAAGTTAGTCATAAAGGTTTGTTGTTAGGTTACCATTAACCTCTTTTTATAGAAAATTATCAAAATATGAAACAGATGTGTCAGACTCCAGGGATAGACTTTAACTTTCATATTCACTTGTCCTTTGGGACAACAAATTTTGACTTGTCCAAATGCAAAACTTGGTTGCCCAAACCTTAGAAAGAAGAAAATACGGGTAATTTAATTTATGTGCAATAAAGTACTTTCTATTGGCAAGTTAACTGCCAAGAAAAAATGTTGATGTGTCAGTTATCCTACAGTTGTAAATTCTGTACATGTATACCACTGTCCTTTCATTTATCCTGAAAACTTGCACTGCCATGCAGCAGTATATATTTTCTTTAAAATAAAATTCATATTTTAAATATATATATATATATATATTATTTTGATTTTTTTCTCTGGAAAACTGAGGCCACACTAAAGGAAAACAGTTGTTATGTTTTGAAACATATATATCCTGATCAGAATACATTGCTTGCCGAGAATAACTGGTGTTCTCTGAGTGAAAAAACAAACTATTCTTGTTTAAGAAACTATTTTTGATATGTTCTTGGCAGAAAGTGTTATTGTTTTGTCTAAAACTAATGCAAGATATGAAAAAAAAAAAAAAGTTTTTATCTGAAATATTCACTTGCCCAATCGGACAAGTACATTGGCATTTTCACTTGCCTTAACTGGGAATTAACTTGCCCCGGGCAATCGGACAACGGTTAATGTCGATCCCTGGACTCTGTGGTATCTTTAAATTATCAAGCTCATTGGGATAATTGTGTTGAAATATGAATGGAAATGATTAATACTGTAAAGTCACGTGTATCGGACACACTTTTTTTTTTCAGAAAAATTGTTCAAAAGTGTGGATGCGTGCATTACATAGGAACTAAATTCAACCCCTTTTTCTGGACATTTTTTCTTAACTCTTATGAGTGATTTTCACTGTTACCACATTGTAAGTTTATTACATATTATTCCCCAATTCTTGAATGATAGTCACGTATGACAGATCGCTGATAAATAAATCAACAAACAGAAATATAAAAAGATATTTCCATTAAAATATTATTCAAAATTAAATATATATATATGTATATTTAAAATAAATTATCTTTTTCTAACTTGGATATCATCACTGCCAAATTTAAGTCTTCTCGACCCTAATGTAGGTCATATTTGTTTATATAACAATTTCCGGCCATTTGGTTTTGAAACAACTGCCATTTTAAACAATACACTTGTAATCAGTAAAGTTTATTTAATGAGAAATATTTTACACACCTTTTTAGTTACCTGGTATCACTTGTATACATAAGTGTGACATTAATTACGCTTGGGATGATTTGTTTACGTAAACACAGACACCTGCTTGGAATGCATTTTCAGCACAATATTGTAAAATGCTTAGGGTTATAGGGAAAAAAATACAGGACTTAATTTTTAATTTATACCAATCAAATAACAATTAAAATACAGACTATACTTAAATACTTATAAATAAAGCTTATATGTAAACTAAATTTTCCAAGAAAATTAGAAGTTGTATCCTACTTTCGTTTTTGAAATAATATGAATATTTTAACTTTTTAAACTTTTTCTTTGGAATAGTTGTGCTGTGAAAATAAGAGATACATCCGCATTTTTGGGGTAGCGTTTTATCCATAGGAACTGCACTTTTCTCAGGATTTTCCCCCCAAATTTGGGGGTGTGTCTTTTACAAGACTACGGCCTTTACACCTGACAATATGGTACTTCGTCAATATATCTAAATGTTAAAGGCGACAGCATGTATTTTCTTCTTCTCATGTATAAGATTTTAAATAAATTTTGCTTTGTAGGTTTGATAATAACGGAGCACAATTGGTACCTATGGAAATTCCAAGAGATTTTTGGAAGACCTTGTCTCTAAAAACCACATAGATATTGTCAATCAGAAACTCAAGAATCTTTTTGATATCAACTTCAGAGTACTTGTGTGTACAATCAGTGTTTTTTACAAATAATTTTGCAAATGACCAATGACAAAATAAGTTAGTTTTTGAGTTCCACTTTTAATGAAAAAGCAGCTGTCAATAAACAAATCTCTCGTCCATACAAAAAACAAAAAAGCATACCAAGGGTGATAATCTCAAAACTTAAGCATTGATCTGTTCGAAATAATTTTTTTTTATTGACATACGTTTAAGGATAAACAACAATACTTGATATCGCGATTACTTAAATTAGCAGAACTCTTTCACGGAGGTAGGAAACGTCTGTTGGATGGGGGCAGTGTACTATTGAATGCAATGCATGATCGATCATTGTGGAATTTATAAGGACTGATAAGAAAGAAATCCTAGAGAAATATCTTGCTAAACATGCGCTGAACCAGCCTAATAAATTTTTGAGAGGAGCTAATCCTGTATGTTGCATTTTTTATGATACTTTTTACTAAGCGGACTTTTCTTATTAAATTCTAAATGAAAATTGTTACTTTTGAAAGTTGATAAAATACTCTAAACTTTCCTTACTTGACAAATCTACTATTTGGAGTTCAACTCTTGGCAATACATTGTAGTTTCGGCATAATGATTGTTCGAATCATTCCATTGTCATCACTGTAATGTTATGCCCCAGAAATCTTGTGAGATTTAGAGCTTCCTCGACTCCCATGCTAATTAAAGAGCGGTTGTAAGTTAGATAATTGCGAGATACTCGCAATACTACGTATTGCAAAATACTGGTACTTTTAATTCAATTCACATGTGCTCACCTTTAAAATGCATTCACAATTCTTTATAAAGTTGGTGACATTATGTATGAAAATATAAAGTCTAGTTACATGTTTAAAGTATGCTTGTGGTACATGTATGCATTTTTTTTTCTTGAACAGTAAAGGAAGGGATGAGAGAGTTCATTGAGTGCCATAAACTTTCAATTGTATGTTATTTTTTAGAGATGGAGTAGTACACAAGCACAATTTGTTAAAGAAAGAAAAGTCAATGGAATGAAAGCCAAAGAAAAGGTGAAGTGAATTGTCACTCATTATATTTTAAATTTAATGTGGACATGGTCATTATTTTAGTTATGTCATAACCTTCTTATCAATTTTAAGCAGTGCAGACAGATGCATTTCTTATTGCTTTGAATAGAATAAATTATCAAAAAAGTTTGTATTTGTTTTTTGATATAGAATTTATATTAAAAAAAAAATTATCAATTACTGCAGTTTTGAATTTCAGTACACTAGAAATTTTTCTGCCCTGCCATGAATATGGCTGGGGCATATAGAGTTTGTCATGTCCGTCTTCCATCCTTTCAACTTTCTGTCTGTCCTTCCATTCCGCTTTGCTTTTAGCTCAGTTCAAAACTAAGTTTCAAAGAAACTATTCAAGATATTTTTATCAATCTTCATATGCTGATACATATTGATAAGAGGTATTCAGTTTCATCAACGTACCTTGACCTTTCCTTTAACTTTGACCTCACTTTTCTTAAATTAGTGTTTAGCTCAGTTTTAAAGAAACCATTCAAGATAGTGTAATCAAACTTCATATGCTGATACATACTGAATCAACATTTTTTTACCTTGACCTTTCCTTTGACCTTGACCGTACTTATCTTAAATAAGTGTTTAGCTCAGTTTTAAAGAAACCATTCAGGATAGCGTAATCAAACTTCACTTGCTGATACATACTGATGAGAGCTATTCAACTGCATCAACATTTTTTGATCTTGATTTTTCCTTTGACCTTCACCTCACTTTTTCTAAATTAGTGTCAAACTTCATATTCTGATACAGACTGATGTAAGGTATTTGACTGTATCAACATTTTTGACCTTGACATTTCATTTGACCTTGACTTCATTTTTCTTGAAATGGTGATTAGCTCAGTGTTAAATAAACAGTTTCCATTCAAAATATTTTTATCAAACTTATTTTGCTTATGCGTATTAGTGAGAACTGTTCAACTGCATCAAAAATGTATGACCTTGAACTTTCCTGTGACCTGGACCTCACTTTTCTTAAATTTGCATTTTGCTTAGTTTTAAAGAAACCATTAAATATAATTTAATGTGAGCTTATGCACTTAACAGAATTTGGTGGGAATTTATCATCTATATCCAACTTTTTCGATTTCAATGTTAAAGAAACTATTTTAAGATATTCTCATCAAATTTCATACACTAAAAATATTTTTATGTTGCATTACTAATATGCCCACATGGTGCAGTGGTTAAAGCTCTAGAGTTGCGGAGTAAGGAGTTGATCCTTATGTCGCTGGTTCGAATCCCACTGTGGGACATGGAGACCGTATAAACCGAGGTCCCATGTCACAGTAGGTGCTGGCATAAAAAGATCCCTCACTGCTTAATGGCCCTTAGTGCCGAGTATAGGTCAAAATTTGCAGCTCTCCACCGGCAAGTGGTGGCGTCTCCATATGAGTGAAAAATTCTCGAGAGGGATGTTAAACAATAAACAAGCAAATAAAAATTAATATACCCTCAGCGGGGCATTCGTGTCCTATGGACATATTTGTAGTTTTGCCCTCTTCTACATTTGTACATGGATATATACTTTTTTATTTTTGCTCTGTAAACAACAACAACAAAAACATTATACCATATAATATGCACAAAATTATATGCTAGGAATGTATTGTGAAAGATGCATTTCAGCTTACAAATGTAGCATCTTTAAGCCAGCTTTTTAAAAATTGTTCTGAATGACTTTCAGGTACTTCTTTTATATTTGCAACTCATTTATAGGGATGTATTAGTATGGTAGCCTGTACGTCTGCCAACACCTTGTAGATGAGATTCTAGCACATATTGTGTGAAATGGTTCTCTTAATTGACATGAGAAGGTCACTATTTTTTATCAAAATAAAAATTACTTGTATGTCTTGTAATAACATTATTTAATGTATCCCTTTCATAGCACACATGTTCGTTTCAAAGAGAAGAAAAACATTTATAATTTTTCAAGGTCAATAATCTCATGGATGAAATGCAAACTGTACTATTTGAAATAGGTGGTATAGGTATTTCAGAGTCTGTATTACAGCTTGCCAGTTTATTGTTGGAGGGAATATTCTCATCAAATAAACTATGTAAAGATTTGCTTTTTAATGCGAAGTATTTTTAAAAGTAATAACTTCATTTCAACTTACAATGAACAGTTAATCAATGCATCTCACTTTGTATCTAATGCATTTTTAGAACACAAATTTGTGGTTTAAAACATGTTGTAATAGTTTAATAATGCTATTCATTTTTTTTAATTGACAAGAAATGAAAATGTAATGATTATTTCAAAATAGTGTTTTATTCCTCTTATGTATATTTATAGATATGTAAAAGATTGTTATTTTTATTGATGTTATTTTTGTGTACAAAATACTAGTTATTTATTACTTTATACAAAACTAATGTTGTGAAGATTGATAATAATAGAAGTCCTTATCAAGGGGTCCAGCCTAAATTCCTTTGCAAAGGCGTATTTTTCTTTGCAACCGAAAAAATGGCGGATACGAAGCGGAGAAGAAAAGGAGGTCAGTGACTTTCGTGTAATTTTAGGAACTATAATCATTAATTTTGATAAATGGATGTTACGTTTCGGTGCGCCTATCCATCCTTTCCAATGGGAAAACTAAGCTAAAGAGATTTACTTTAAGATGAAAAAATTATTGAAGAAAAACCATAGACATGTCTCTATTGTTTGTCGCATTCATAACCAATCATCGGTTATTTGTAACATACTGCACAGTCCAAAGCTGTAAAAATTACATATATTTGTAAATTTTCCGGTCAAATATTAGAAAAACACAATTTCCATTCACACAAAGCCAGTTTTAGAAATTTAATCCACAATTTACGACTTTAAGATTAAAATTACTTTGCAAAGTCGATATTAGGACATGTTTACTTTGCAACTCTGTGATTCAGAACATTGATCGTTATATTGAAAAGGCCTCTTCGCCAAAATTACAGGCAGCAATATAGTGTTTGCAATCAAATTGTATACATACTTTTCACGATGAAAATCCCCTGTCACCCAGCATAATTTAAGTGGTGTGTACACAGTAAATCCTATGATTCTAATTGGGGAGGGTGTATTTTTTGTTAGTTTCTCCCTACCTCTGATACACTTTTTTATTTTATTTTTTCTCTCTAGAGACTGATCCCTTGATACGCTCAAACCTGAGGTTGGTAAATAAGGAAAAAAATTCTGGACAAGGGCATATGCAAGTTCCAAAGAGTATTTAGACTGTTTGCGATCGGGTGGATTATGGTCGACGGACCTAAAATTCTATCATCGTTGAAAGTGGGGATATTGGAAAGGGAACTGTATAGGGTGTAGAAAATCAACTATATTTCTTGTACTGTAACTCATGACTTACTGAAATTCAATTTTTATAATAATTATTTTTACGATGAAAATTGTCATATAGTGATATACATTGTAAGATGATGACAATTTTATAACTGTCATTCTCTTTCATCATCTTAAAGTATTCGTACACAAGTATTGCATGTATTAAATGTTTCTTGTCGATATATATTGTGAACCCGAATAAAAGTTTTGACAGTTGAATCTGTACAATTTGCATACATGTATTTGAATATGGACATTTGTTTTAAAAATAAAATCATTTAAATTTGTCATACGTTCGTAATATAAAATGGGTCTTAGACACGTCATTTATACTTATATACATATTAGGTAACTAGAATGAACTTAGTATTTTAGCATAGGATTTGTTCGGCGAAATTTAAACATGTATCTTGTGTATCAAGACAGAATTTAAACATTTGGTGACTGAAAAAAAGATCACTCTGTATTAACTTTCTGGAAATGGTTTTTTTTTAAAAATGTTTTTTAAAATTTTTGGTAGAATTCTTTTGGAATCCCCCCCCCCCCCCCCCAACGAACAGATAGGCTTTGCATCAAATATTATTTGCTCATGGTAAAAAACAACAAATTTAAATTTCTCCAATTTTTATTTCGTAAATAAAGACAATGTTTTCTAAAAAATAACAATGATATTCAAAAGTCAATCCCACAATCCCATAGCAATGTTTTCAAAAAAAGGGGGGATTCCAAATGAAAATTTACCTTGTTAAACTACATCCAAAAAATCCTTAGACCCCCCTCCCCCCCCCCCCCCATCGCAGTACGGACCCGAAAGCAATATTTCATAAGAGATTAAAAAATGCTATACGATGATATCATTGGAAAAAATATTTCAAGAAATATATTGCATTAAACCCTTCATACGACGATTAATTAAAGAATATTTCACATTTTGGATTTAATGTACTTGATTATCTTACACAATCTTGATGATTTCAATCAGTTCACGATAGTTTTTTTTATTCTTGGGATTTTTACAAGTTCCTGGCGATGCTGTTGTATTTAGATTTCACATTAGAAGGAGGTGGGAAGAGTTTTGTGGCATACATTCTGTTTTCGCGGTACTTAATAAGACCTTTATTATAGAAATCATTTTTTTTTTTTACACAAATCACACTTTTCATTGGTTCGAAAAGACTTCCCATAATGATTACATGAATACAGTCCTGCTGCGTCGAAGAAAATATTTGCTGGTAATAATCTTCCTGCATTTGATGCAGTGCTCTTCTCTGAAATAGATAAATCTGACCGGTTATGAAAACAGTTTTAAAGGAAGCAATACCTTGAAACTTACGTACAGATTAAATCAAAATTTATCAGATTGTATTTTTCGTTTTTGCAATCGTTGTGATAGTGAATTTCTGTATTGTTTATACAGCAAAGTGATTTGCACAGGAAAAACAAGCCCTGAACCGCAATTTGCAAATGAAATATTTCCTATACTACCTTTATTTTGGAATTTAGACAAAATTTTGTCATTTTGTCACAGAAAGTCATGTTTGAATAAGGAGTCTTGATGTAATATATGAGATAAGTTTCTCTTATTTTCCATTCAACATGTACTCTGTTGTAAAAGACAGTATTTACCCTCATATGATGACACACGTATTCAATCCGTGTCTGCAAGGCATGTCGTTTTATTTCAATAGATTTTTTGGTATGTAAGTCGTGGGTATCTAAAAGTATCCCTCCAAAAGACAAATAAATGCTTCACCGAAACGACATATTTTGGTACCGAATTAAATGCGCGAATCATTAAAAATTTCGTGATGTTTACTGGCCTTCTTTCCAGTCTCCGCTTCGACTCCGCCATTTTCTCTGTTGCAAAGAAAAATACGCCTTTGCAAAGGAATTTAGGCTGGACCCCTTGCTTATGCATATATTGAACAGTATACAAATGTCACCAATGTAATACACATTTACAAATAAAATGAAATTTTACATGACTTGCACATATTTGCATTATTTGTTACAGTTATAACAAATTTTGTATTTATTGTTTCCAATTTTTATTGTCTATTCAAATATGGAAAAATTATATGTGTAATGATGTTAAAGACACAAGAATATGAATTAAAATAGGACTGTATGAACTACCTTTAGATTTATGAATTCAGTAGACAGTGACTGTGACAAATGTGTATTTAGGATAGAGATCTTAGACATGAGAAGAAAAGGGGTTGTTTTATAAACTTTTTTTTGCATGGGGAAATATGGACATTTTTATACAACAACAAATGAAGTTACTGGAATTGTGAAGTCTGCGTGTCTTCTGTGAGTAGACATCTTTTGAAACAAAGGTAGCTTGGGGCCAGAAATATTCTAGACCCAGTAGTAATGGTCTTTTGCACAAGGTCATAGTCACTGTATATCAAAGTATTAAATACTTACCAATAATTGTTTGTAACCTCAGAGTATGATCCTAACACAGGTTAATACAGGTCAAGGCCATAGGGTTTAGAAATGTAATAAATATTCAGATAAACACATAATTCTGTTTGTTTATTTGTTTGTTATACATCCTTTAAGAATTTTTCACTAGTATTGAGACACCACAACTTGCTGGTTGAGGGCTGCAAATATAGACCTGTACTTTTGAGCAGTGAGAGGTCTTTTCTTGTCCCAGCATATACTG